CTAGTAAACTTGCCCTTACAATGATTACAAGTCCACTGTTTAGAACCTCCAGGATTCTTGCTATTTCCTATGATTCAAGTAATAAGAAATAAATGGTTAAACAAAACATATAAAATACTATTAAGGATCAACATATGAAAATATAAAATAATAGAGTAAATGGAGTAATACTGTAATAGAGTAAATGGAGAATGGAGTCAATGGACACAGTGGTGCCGTCACTGCCTACAGCCCTACACACACCATGGCCATGCACGCACCATTTTCTTTAGGGAAAGTAAAAAAAAAAATTAAAATTTAAAAAGCAATTTCATTCATTTTAGAAGAAAAAGAAAAAATTGGTGTGAGTGTTTTATTCTCCAATATAAAAAAAAAAGAAAAAACAATATATTTAAAAAAACAAAATGGTGTGAGTGTGTAATTTTATTTTTTTAAAAAAAAAAAGAAAAGAAGAAAAAAATTACCTGTACCAATGAAGGTAACTTCATCTAATAGGGGCTTGTTACTATCCTTCTCTTCAACATTGGTGGGAGCGTGACTTTGACTTGAACTCTCAAATTGTTCAACAGCTACAACTTCTTCATCAACATCAATATAATTTTGGGTGTTGCTAATATGAGACTCACTGTTATTATCATCTTGAGAATTATTGGCTCTATAATTTTTGCCAAAAGCCATTGAAAAAAGAGAAAAAATTACTGGATATTGACTATTGAGTGAATAAAGATTGGGTTGTGGTGAGACTTGAGAGATGATATATATATATATATATATATATATATGTATGTATGGAGAATGGAGACTGCCTAGGAAAAAACGAAACATAAGTCAGAGAACCATCGAGAGACGCACGGAGACTAGGAACGACTCGCACAAAACCTGGGGGAGTGCAATCGTGAATTGACGCAAATTGGAAGAGGGAAGGTCGCGGAAGAGACGAAATTGCGATTGGGATCGCTGGACCGCCAGCGATTGGTACTCCACCATCTCCGACTTGGTGCGGCGTTCGAGGGCATCTGGATCGCCGGCGATTTGCGAATTGGAGCACCGTACCGACCCGAATTGGATCGCCGTACCGCTGGCGATTGGATCGCTAGCGACTTGCGATCCGGTACGATTCGTACCAATTCGGAAATCGTGGCTAGGTGAACGAATTCTGTAACTATGATCTCAACACATTTCTGAATGTCTTCTTGTGTGTACCATTTGGGAATAATTTCCCTTGCAGGAGGAGGGCAGGGGGTTGAAAGGGGAACCACGCATGTCCTACGTGGAAGGATGTAGGGACATTGCTGTTTTAGAAGCAATGCTTGAATCTGGACATAAACAAGGGGCCCTTGTCCGTGTTAAACGGTTTTAATAGTACTCCGGGGGGGTAAATGACAATTTCTTGAGGTTCAAGCCTATTACTGAGAGATAAATATCTTTTACTCCGTATTTAATAAATAAATAAATAAATAAGTTTTGTGCTATGTGGACATTTAAGTCTATAATAGAATTTCTCACAAGTTAGTGTCTTTCAAAGTAGGGGTGGGCACAAAAACAGAATTAGCATGGTACTACACTGGATCGTAATGGTAATGCACCGTTTATAGTGTTTTTAAACGGGATTCATTTTTCTATCACAAACGAACAGATATTAAATGGGGTGGGACCGTGATACAATTATCTAAAATCAATTATCACGGATCGAACTGTTCAAAACTATATACAGAATATCTCAAATAGTTATTTTTCTACTTCATCTTATCGTATAAGAAGTACTCCATATTGAATTTTTCATTTTTTAATATTCTTTCATTATTATTGTTATAATATTTATTACTACCATTAGCATTTTTTTTGAGTTATTAATAGTCTAATATTGTGTGATTAGAAAAAAAAATCTATTTTTTTAAATTTAGAGTCGTTATTTTTTATTCTTTCTGTTTATGATCTTTTAAATTTGAAATCGATACTTTTTTTTAAAATAAAGTTGTGCTTTTTTAATACAAAATTATGTTTTTATTTTAATATTCTTTTTTTTTGAAGGCATTTTAATATTCTTTGTGTAATGCATATTCATTTTTTGTCACGGGTTGTGGATGTGCATGGTATTCAGGTATTGTATTGTTCCATTTCAAAATGGAATAGTACTGAATGATTTTGAGGTTCATACTGTATCGATGCTGAACCGTTTAAATAAAAGCGGTCAATGATAGGTTCTGTCAGTATCACGAACCGTCACGGACCAGACCGTGAGATTGAGCATAAAACTCGAGCCTAGCCTTAAAATATTTGGGCCGACATTAATAAGGCCCAAGCCCGGCCCGTACCCTAAAAGGTCAAGCCCAAGCCTTTTGTTTTGCGGGTGGGCTTTGGTAGATGGGCCGAGTATCTGGGCTCGTGATCGGATGATCGGATCTAATATGAATGTAGTTATATTTAAAGTTATTTCTGATCTGATTTGATTTAATCTGATATGAATTGAAGTTATTACAATAAGAAAAAGTAATAAATACTCCCTAATAAAAATAAATTGTAGGAAACATGATCTAACAAAATAAACTTTATGTTTATGTCTTTGGTATGTACAAGAGTTCGACACTGTGTATTGTTGTTTTTTATGGTCTTTGTTATTTGACAAACCTGGGTATTATCCTATCTACACATTATAGCAAGTTTGCTAGAGGTATATTTGAATTGTCTGAATTAGTATATGTTATTTTACTCCTCATTTTTAAGCATAAAGTATTGTGAAATGTTTAATAACTTAACCCCGACCGAAAGGGCACCATTTAATGGGTGAACCATACTTTAATAAAAAAAGATTATGACGAATTATCTAAAATATTTTAATAATGAGGCAAAAGTATAATTACTACGAATGAATGATTCTCATTTGAAAGATTTATTTGACACCGAAGTATTTTATATTCATCTATTAAAAGATAATCTTGGATAATTAAATTTTAATGGAGAATATATATATATATATATATATATATATATATATATATATTTGTGATTTTCGCCACAAGCTTCCATTTTCTCTGATGGAGCCAAATATTTGGTATTATATGAATGAGGATAAGAATGAGGATAATATAAAAAAACATTAAAAAAAATTCAATGTCTTTTTATATTTTTCAATTTTTTCTAGTTTTTTCAATTTCATTTAATTTTTTTCAGTTCCTTCTAGTTTTTTTCAGTTATTTAAGTTATTTTCAGTTTCTTCCAATTTCCTTCTAGTTTTTTTTCTGTTTTTTCTAATATCTAACTTTTTTTTTACGATTTTAAAAAACATACTCTAAGTGTCTATCTATGTGTACTTATATTGCCCTTGAAGTGGAGTTTCCTAGTACTCCTCTTTTAAGTTTTAACTTATTCAATCATGTGCAAGGTCTTCCTCAATTAACTTTTTGCTCTTCATCCATTCTTTCCAAAAGGGGTTCACGCATTTACATGTCCAAGTTCAATGTATTTGGACTTATCGTCCACTTTCTCTTTTTTTTTTAAAAAAAAAATACTCCGTAAATAATTAAACTATTTCAGCAGCTCGTGTTACGGTTAGTCCGACTCTCACTCCATGTCCAATAAATACTCTCTCTTGTAAAAAGATTTTACATTCAGACTTCTTATTGGAATTAAGAAAAATAAAATTAATATGTTGGAAGTGATTTAGAAGAGAAAAACTTCTTTAAAAAATTATAAAATCTTTTTATAGGACATACGGAGTAAGATCCTTTTCTTTTGGGTTAAAAAAATTAACTCTTTTCAATTTCTTTCAACTCTTTTCGGTTTCTTCTAATAATGACTTAAAAAATGTATTTATGTATAATGATTATACAATAACATTATATATCCAAATTCAAAACATGTCCTTCAAACACAAATAACAATGAATTCTCTTTTATATCCAAAACTATTTTGCTTACATATTTGTTTGGATGATCATTTAATTGAATGATTTTTTAACATTTTAATTGTTCCAATATTTTCTAACTCCTAATTTTTTCTAATTCCTTCTACTTTCTTCGATTTTGTTGGAGTTCCCACATCGGAAAATAAAGATAAGTATCACTTGCATATATTGAAGGGTGAAGCCCTACCTATCAGCTTAAGCTTTTGGCTTAGAATTGTGGATCCCAACTTTATATGCAAGTGGTTAATTTTACCCGACACTCTATCCGTTGTTCTCAGCTCGCCGGAATTTTAACAGATTTCTTTTAATTTCTTTCAACATCTAATTCTGAAATTCTAATCCAAAAAGAAAAGTTCCTAATTATAGACATCTACAAAAAGTAGGACTATTTAATACCGATTATTTGAGAAGGCGGCTGATTTTTTTTCAATTTAAAAATAGTGGCTGAGATTTGGGATAAGGTTAATTTTAAAAAGGTATGGAACAAAATTGCGTACATTCAACTATCACCAAGAGTGAATTCCATCTTTTACAGAATTAAGTTATTTGTATACCAAAAATTATATCTTATTTTATACCCCAAAGGCATGTACTAATATTTTGTGTTAATGTGATGATTTACATCGATACAAAATATCAGTACAAATTTTCTTGATTTAACTAGCATTTTTGCCAATGTGAACCGTTAAAATGTCGGTGCATTACAGCTTGGAGTACACCAATGATATACCCCTAGCATAGTTGTCTTTTATAACAAGATATTGACAGGATATTCTTTAAGTGGTCAATAGAAGATATGAAAAGGTGTAATGGTCAAATTCAAATTCTAGAAAAGAAGTGCAGAATGGTTTTTGCTCAATAAGATGTTTTTCTAAATCAAACCTCAATAATTATGAATTTTGTACTTTTTAATTTAAATATATTTTCTTGGTAGTTCTTGTAAAAAGTATGGATCAAATGACTATTTTTTATGGGATCAAATGACTATTAAGTTAAGTACTTCTCTTGCAAATTACATAGTAAATTGCATGTTAATAATTCATAAGGTCAAATTTTGTTCACTTGCTTTTCTACATTTTCAATGTTCATTTCATTAAGTACTATAATCATGTCACCTCTTGTTTTGAAGAGATTTTGATGAAGTTTTTTAATGTGTATTTTTTTTATTCCTGCTCCAATTCTCAAATAAATTGAACTGAAACTAACTTTAGTCAAACATCGTAAACTGAAATATGCAATTTAAATTGGGACGGAGGGATTATGTTTTGATATTTTTCATAATATAAACAATAAGAAATGTTAGCTCTTTGTGCGTCATTAAGTTAAGAATAATATGAACAAATAATACATTGTAATAACGTCAATAACACTAAAAAAACAACAAGAAACATCTCAAAATAGTCTTTTCTACTTAAATTTTTCCTAAATGCTATTATAATTATAATATCACCCTAATTATTAGAGGGCCATCTTGGAATTATTGCTTAATGAGAAACGATTTAGAAAAACGCTTTATTAGGAAAGGCCATTTTGAGAATTAACTCTACCACTAATATTGATTTGTGATAAAAAAATATTTTTTATTTCGAATTAATCATCTCACTTTCTTTTCTAAAACATCACAAAACAAGTATATCATTTTTTATTTTCCCAATAAAGTAAAGAATATGCGGTCCATAATTGTTTTTTCTTTTTTCTATTCAAATTTCAACCCACTCACTTTTCAAAATGTTTTCTTAAACTTCTTAAAGTTAAACTAAGAGTTTAAGGGGCTGTTTGTTTCAGCCTCTTAATGGTTCAGATGTCTGAATGGTTCAGCACTTAATGGTTCAGACTGTTTGTTTCGTGAGCAGATGTCTGAATGGTTCAGACATTTGCCTCTGAATGGTTAAGATCTCTTATCTGAATTGATCAGACATTTGCTTCTGAATAGTTAAGCACTGATTCAGTACTTAATGGTTCAGACCTCTTACTGGTTCAGCACTTACCTATTTTGAAGTTGCCAAACAGCCCCTAAGACGATTAATTTAGAGAAGAGGAGTAATACTTTATGTTTTTTGTCATAACAAAAAGAGATAAGCCACATTTTGGAGACCCTCCCAAAATTGATGGGACAATCACATAAGAGGAAGTAAATTGAATTTTTTTCTCAAAACGATTAAAACATACTCCCTCCGTTTGAAAAAAGTGTTCCTATTTTGACTTTGTGTAAAAATAAGGAAGTATTAAATTGTAGTTGACTTCCAATTTTGCCCTTGATGTGATAGATAAAAGTAAGATGTGATGGATAGATTATTAGAGATAAAGTATGATGTGATAGGTAGGGTATGAAAACGTAAGGGTAAAAGTGGTTTTTTAATAAAAAGTGGAAGTGTTTTGTTGGAAGTGAAAAAAATGAAAGAGGAAGTGTTTTAAAAAACGGAGGGAGTACTCCCTAAGAGTTTGTAATTTTTCTCTTTTTTTTTTGTTTTCTTTTTGTTTTTGTAAAACAAATAGAGAGCCCAAATTCTATGAACTTTCTTCCGGGGGAGTAACTATAGTAATTTAGTTAATGAAAAATTAAAGAAGCAGTAAGATGTATTAATCTGTTTTCTCCTCCGGTCCCAATCGCCCAGAATTTGTCTTCCGGTGATGAATGACGAAGATGATGATGATGGCATGAGTGCTTAGGAGACTGAGAGACCTATATGAAGCCTTCATTTCTCGCCGCTTCTCGTCTTCTTCCGTAGGAAACGGCGATCAGAACACAATATACGGAGTATTATATATATCCGCTTTTGTTGGGATTTCCGCCGCCGATTCGCCGTGTATGATCCATCTCCAGCCGTGATTGTGAGCGCCTTTTGACCTTTCCGGCATCCACAAATTAATTCCCTCTTTTATATATTACTCGCGTTTTCGTTTTCGTTTATCGTAAAATTTTGAATGAAACGAATGGATTCCCAGGGGCCTAATCAATCTCGGGTCGCGAAGCTCTGAATCCGGACTGCCCTGATGGATGAGATTGGAGTCGATGCCGGGTTTGATTTATTCTCCTTCTTCTTCTTCTTCTTCTTCTTTTCCTCCTTCCCATTCGTTTCTGATTTGATATTTCAACACAAAATCTAGGTTTTGGTTTCCAAACATTGTAATGCGAGGTTTTTTTTGTGGGTAATCTAAGTTCTCTTGATTTGTTAGTTTTCATTAGAATCAGAGATTGAATTCTGGGTTCTCTATTTAGCATCAATTGGACTAGAATATGGATCTTTGAGGAAGGAGTTGATGAGTTTTGTTTTTTTAGCTATGGAGCATGAATGTTTTTATATATACCGATTTGATGAATGTGGATTGTTTGAAATTATGCATTTGGAAACAGATCGGACATTGAAGTCGATGACATAAGGTGTGACAACTTTGTTGAGAAGGATGTCAGTGACGAAGAGATTGAGCCAGAAGAATTGGAGAGGAGGATGTGGAAGGATCGCGTCAAGCTGAAGAGACTCAAGGAAAGACAGAAGCTTGCAGTGCAATCTGCCGATAAGCTGAAAGGGAAGCAACCGACCGATCAAGCCACACGGAAGAAGATGTCAAGGGCCCAGGATGGGATTTTGAAGTACATGTTGAAGCTGATGGAAGTGTGTAAGGTCCGCGGGTTTGTTTATGGGATCATACCGGAGAAGGGAAAACCTGTGAGTGGATCTTCTGATAATGTTAGGGCGTGGTGGAAGGAGAAGGTGAAGTTTGATAAGAACGGTCCGGCGGCCATTGCCAAGTACGAAGCCGAATGTCGTGCGAGGGTACAGGGGATAGGTGGCCTGGTCGGGAACCCCCAGAGTGTCCTACAAGATTTACAAGATGCCACTTTGGGATCCCTTTTGTCTTCTTTGATGCAACATTGCGATCCGCCCCAACGGAAGTACCCATTGGAAAAAGGTGTACCCCCACCCTGGTGGCCGACGGGGAACGAAGAGTGGTGGAATAAGAATGATTTGCCAGAAGGACTTAATCCGCCCTACAAGAAGCCCCATGATCTAAAGAAAGTGTGGAAGGTTGGGGTTCTGACTGCCGTTATAAAACACTTGTCGCCTGATATTGCAAAGATAAGGAAGTTAGTTCGGCAATCTAAGTGCTTGCAGGATAAGATGACTGCCAAGGAAAGCTCGATTTGGTTGGGTGTCCTAGAAAGAGAGGAAGCCCTAATCCGCCAACCAAGCAGTGAAAACGGATCATCTGGTGTAAGTGAGGCACCTAATGCGGCTCGCCGCGAAAATAAGAGACCTTCTCTCAGTAGTGACAGTGATTATGATGTTGATGATGCCCTTATCTCTGTTTCATCAAAGGACAAGAGTGGAAACCATGTTTCTGATGTTAGTCCTTTAAATGCTGTGCCTCAATCCCATCAGATTCAAAGGAAAGAGCATAAACGTCCTAAGAGACAAAAGAGTTCAAAACCAATCCCTGCTGCTCAAGGGAACCCTCCAGCTATTGAACATATTCATCGTGATGATGGGCCCAATGATCCTAATCCCATTATAGCGGGATACTTAACTAATGGAAGCGAAACCTGTGGGTCCCACCCAATGGAACCTTTGGAGAAAAGTTCCGATGGCCAAACCGAGTTACCATCAGGTGACTGTAATCATTCTATTGTTCCATTTATGGGCAATATGTCTATTGTTGATCCAATATCTCAAAATTCTGCTGTTGTCCATTATGAATTGAGGCCACAGACGGGTCCCACAGATTGTGGCATGCACACTCAAATTCAAGATATTCAGATGCTTAATGACTCTCTCTTTCCAGGAGTTAATGATGAGCCACAAAGATCAATGTTTCACTATGGACCTCTAATTCCAGAAGTGCACTATGAGCCTCCAAAATCCGCAGCTCAAGATTCTTCTTTACACCATGAGCTACAAAGTTCCGATTTCCATCATGGATCTCAATACCATGAACTGCATCAATCCTCTGTTTATCAATACTATACTCCTTCTGATGAAGAGAGGTCACAGTTAGCATTTAATGAACTTCCGACGAGGCCGGATGATTTTGGACATTATGGAAAAGAGTCGTTTCAGAATGAACATGATGGTAGATCTGTTGAAATGCCTTTTGAAAATCCAATAACTGGTGTCTCAACTGACTATACAACACTGAACAGTCCGATAAGTTTTGGAATTGATGTGCCCACTGCATTTGAGACCGACTTTGAAATTTTGATCGACGATGACGAATATTTGACATTCTTTGCCTCTTAAAACTATCAGATTGTGAGTTTTTCATCTACTTGCTCTTTAGTTATTATCTATTGTTCCCTTTCTAAGCCTCATTTTGCTTGGGGGATTTTTGAGGGGATGGAAGGAGATGTATGATGCTTATATTCAAAATTAATTCTCACGTTATGGTAGTTGGAAAGAAAGTGAGGGAAAAATTGTATAAAACTGCATGATTTAATTGAACTTATAATCCCTTTATACAAAAAAAAGGAGGTCTGTCAGAGTAAGGTATGAATTTCTAATTTTTAGTCAACCCAATCAAGGAACAAGCTTTTACAAGTTATGAATGGTCACTTATACCTCTAAAACTTAGTTCCAAGATTGTTTGGAGTAATTGACTACAATTGCTTGCTGCTTCCATTTCGCGGTTGTCATTTTTTTTTTACTTCAATAGTTAAAGTTTAAATGTAAAACCAGCTTCTTTATGTGGGAAAAAAAAAGTTTCTTGGAGCCAAAGACCTTGTGGTCCAATGGCACCAAGGTGACTCTTCCAAATGGAGGTCAGGTCACGGGTTCAATCCCCAATGGAGGCGATAACTCCCGGTGCTTCAATAGGTTGAGAAAGGATGTATGAATAGATACTTCAATTGTAATTGAGTTGTTAGTGCTAAAAAAAGATTCTTGGAGTATTACTCTATTTTTTTTTGGGTAGGAGGGAGTAGTAAATTTATATTGTGAGACATACGAATAAACTTATAGTACTCAAACCAATCCTTCTTTCCAAATCCCCCAAGCAAACAAGACTTGAGAGTTCATCTGAAGTTTCTTTCTTGAACTTCTAAACGCAGGGCATAAAGATGAATCTGCTACTGTTAGTGCCTAATGGAAGGGAGCTTATTTGCTTACACATTGAGGACCTTGACTGTAAGGTACTTAAATATTGTTTATCACCACCACAATCATGTAAAGGGAAGTTATCATCTTTTTTTTTATTCTCACTAGCCTTCCTTTTTACATTGTGAAGGAAAGTGCTCCAATGTAAATGACTTAGTTCTGTGATTGGCTAATGGCTAGGGTGCATATCTTTTTCACTTACTAGAAATCGAATAAAGGTCCCTATTGATATTCAAGTCGCATATTCCTTTAGTTGTTACTGGATTCAATTATTTCTTTCAAACACTAGGGGGTTAATTAGATCATTGTGACACCAATGTTGGAGTTTTTCGAAGTACTACGGAGTCTCTATTTTCCCGTTTTAATTAAGATGGTCAAAGACTCTTCATTTGGATGCCCAAAGTCTGCCCTAATCTTCATTCTTTATCCCTCGTGTATAATTGTTTCACAAATGAGACGATGTTTAACGATATTAAAATACTCCGTAATTAAATATGGTTTCATCATGGGAGAAAGACCAAACTAGGAGTAAAATATTGAAAATATACGAAAATAGGACTTTCATGTTTTTATTCCCGAAATAGTACTTATCATGCATTTACATTATCAAACATGGTCATGTACATTATCAAAAAGTACAGTAATATCACAGTGCGAAGTACTATTTCGGAAATAAAAACATGAAATTCCTATTTTAGTACTTTTCTCTATGTTTTAGTTCTATTTAAGGTGATTTCTATTTCATAATCCCTTGCAAGGATGCGAAATTTTATTGAGTTTGTTGTTGTTGTTGTATCCCTTTGCTAGTACATTTGTCTTTGAACTTGAGACAGTGGTTTTTGTAGGAAGTTACTATCAATGGTTAAAGAATGCCAACAACAACAATAACAAACCCAGTAAAATTCCTCAAGACAGGGGTTTGATACCACAATTCTTTCTCCTTTTTTCTGAAATGTTTTTTTGGTTGTTTTCATTTGATCCATGTAAAAAGGTGATTCTCTTAATATGTCACAATAGGAAAACATGATTTTTGGTGCAGTGAATATTAGTGTGGTTGTGGCAATAAGACCTTTGATAGTCTCAAAGCTGCGAAGCATGGTTGATATGATATGAGTTTTGAAATCTAAAATGAAAGTGTCTGGATAAATTTGAAATGATACGGAGGAGGAATATTCATGATATGCGGGTGACCGTGTGTTGAGGGAGATATCAAAATTCTTAGAATGTTATCTCCCAAATTCAGTAGGTATTAAAAACTACTCCGTACCATTTAAGAGGATACAAGTACATTTCAGATGTGAACTTTGTGCATGTTTGTGAACTAGGCTAGAGGTTAATGTTAGTGTTTTGAAAAGATTATCTGCGTGCAACGTTTAGCGTTAGCATTTTCAAAGTGAATCTTTACTGTTAAAATTTTATCCAAAACACTAACAGTAACTGAAAACACGTTATTTCCAAACCGGTCCTTCGTATAACTTCATCAAATATTTACGCCAAGGCATTCTAATTTTTTTTCAAGATCTCTTATCCCTAAACATCATTTCAGCACTTTATTCTTTCTTCCATTACTCTTCTACTGAGTATTAGTAGAGCAATTTTTTATTCAAACAGAATATGTTTAGTTTAGTTTTTCAGTTAATAAATAAAATCTTAAGGGAGATTTTGAAACAAGGTTTGATCATCAATTAATTACAAATTTTCATTGGGTACGTAGTAATGTTATGATTTTTTTTAAAAAAAATAAGATACTTCAATTTAATGAAGTTATATTGTATTAACATATTCAATAATTTTGATTTAGTAAATAACCAAAGTTCATTTGGTTTATCTGAAGTATGTTATGGATAAACAGAAAAACAAACGAACAATATTTTTGTATTAACTCAAGTATTTAAAAAATTGTTATGGATTTATTAAATACTTCCTCCAACCCAAAAAGAATCGCATGTTATTAATGAAGTTTGATTGAAGTTATTTTCAATTCAATTTATTTAAAAATTGGTAAAGATTTAAAAAAAAATATTCAAAAGCTATATCAAAAGTTCTACAAAACAAAGTTTAACAAAACTATTTTATTTCTCAAATAGGTAGCAGAAATGAATAAAAAATGTTATTAAAGTTTAACCTTGTAAATAATAAATTGAAAACTTACATTACTCCATGTTCCAAATTAAATTTTATATTTACTATATTATATCATCAAACTTCATTCACTTTCTTTCTCTATTTTTATTAGTCATTTTTTAAAATAATATAATATCATTACCAGTTTCATAGTAGATCTTTTGATGCACTTCCTCTGTCCAACAACGTTCAATTCAATTAAAAACAACTTCAAAAGTTCTACAAAACAAGAGGTGACAAAACTATATTATTTTATGAAATAACTAAAGAAAATAGATAAAGAAAATAATGAAAGTTTGACCATAAAAATTATTACTGGAAAGAACGTTTAAAGATGGGGGAGTTGTTTTTAAACACTCGTATGTAATTTTTGTTTTATAATTCTACACCATTTTTCATTTAAATTGATTTTAAAATAACTTAAGTAAAAAATGTAAACCGAAATAGACGATTTAAATTGGGTATTAGGACGGAGAGAGTAGAACGGATAGAGTACAATATAATATGAATAAATTCTATAATTACTCTATAATACAAGACCAATTAATTGGTGACCAAAAAACAAAAGTTGGTCGCACCCCATTTGCAAATTGCCTTGACCTCCATGAAATGACAAAGACACCAACAAATAAGGTAGATACATCATTTGAGGGGCAGGATTTTTGGGCATTAGTGTGTTGTTACACTGATCGATTACACGATACGCAGAAATACATTTTCAAACACATAAAATTACTTTTGGACGAAGCTCAACAGTTGTTCTCTAACACAATGCCAAATACCCTTTGGGAATCCCACTCTTTTCAAAGTCCCTCCTATTCATATATGACCCCTTTTTTGTCCCACTCTGAGATGGGACTTGATACTCACTATTGAACATGCTCTAAGTCCTAATGGAAGGGCAAGACAGTAAAACAGAAAGCTCCCTTATTTTGTGTTCATCTCCATTGCATTTATTACACACCAAACTACATGCCAAGTATTATAATGTGATCCCACATTACATTTTACATATTTATACCATATATATAACTATATAGTAACACAAAGATACCAAATTTGAGTCTCCTTTCCCTTCAAAATCCCCCGCTGCAGGACTCCAGTAACATAACCAAAGCATGTTACCACAAGAAATCATTCTGTATGAAAGATAGTCAACCACGAAATCATAATCGAAAAACATGTAAAACTGTAAAAGCTATCACAGCCTTTATACCATTTTATAGTGTCTAATTTGGCGAAGCACAAAGATTAAGAATATGAAAACAAATTGGACCACATATATTTTCAAAGGCATAGATCATTACCTTCTTCGCGGTCCTATGGAGTCCGACCCATTTCTTCCCCAGCCATGTGGATGATAATTGTGGCCGTGTGGCAACCGGTTGAATGGGTTTTCATGAAAGATTTCCACACAGGGTCCATATCATGCTCTATTTCTTCTGTGGAAACCAGTTGACAAGCACCAAACCATTTGTGCACAGACACAGCTTTCTTCAGCTTTTTATAAAGCAGCTGCAAATCAAGCAAAACTCAGAAACATTATATATCAAAGCACACACTCAAGCAGAGAGACAGAATTGGAAGATAAAACACAACACTTTATGATACATACCTCCATGCTTTGGCGAGAAGTGAATATCAAGGATATCATAACACGGGGCGCTCCAACCAATAGTGTCCTTTTCAACAAAGTTTCATCTATCCGCGATGACGCAACAACGTATTGTGGCTTTGCCTCTTTCAAGAGTTCATCGAGAGAAGAGAAGGAAACTGCATGTAGTTTCTCATGTAAAATAAAGTTCTGGAAATAGAAATAGAAATATAACTGGATTAGTTATGCACTCCCTCAGTCCGAATTTAGTTGCATTTATGTAAATTGATAATAAGCAGAACTAAAAAACAAAACATAACAGCATTAAAGACTAACTTGTACACTTCCGCTTTTAATGAGCAAATTCAACTTCTCATAATTATGTAACTTCATAAGGAAGCCTTGTAATCCAGCTTTACAAAATGTCCAAAAGCTTTCAGCAGAAAACGCAATCTCAATTTCTTCGACCATAGGAACATTCCAATCACCGAAATGATTGTCTGAATTGTGTGCTCCGAAACCCATCAATTCCAGACCCAGTAAATTTGGAATGTTGATTTCAACACCAAGAAAGGTATTGAAACCACTCACGATTAGTTTCTTGAGACACGAACTTGAGATCTGAACTTTGCCCACTGCTTTACAGCTATGCAATTGCAATTCTTCGATATAAAAAAGTTTAGACAAAAGATACTGAATAGGAATATAATCTGCAGAGAGGATAGCTGCATGTAATTCCAAATGTTTCAGAGCAATGCAACTTGCCAAGTCAATGGAACATGGACTAGACTGAGCAAATATGAATGTTTCCAGACTCGGCGAAAACATTTCAATCCTCTCAAGCTCTCCGAGGTGAGAAACTTTGATATATTTCAATCTAGGTTTACGTGAAACAGAGAGAAAACTTCCAACACCCTTACAATGTGTAAACTCCACATGTTCCAACTCAGGGCAACCACATAGAATTTTATCCAATACATTCTCACCAATAAGTCGGCACGAATAAAGTTTGAGCTCAAGCAGATGTGGTAGCTCAAAGCAAGTAAATCTATCTTCAAACACACACCAAGTAAGTTCTAACACCTTTAGTGAATGAGCAACAGCGACTCCCCCCGGAATAGAAAACAAAGATTTTGGACCACCAGAATGATCCTGCCGCTGATACGACACGATCGCTAGCAAAGAAACATTCCGTGTGATTGCACCCCCCAACCACCTATCCATCTTGGTGGCCACTTCCTTTAGATTACTATGCCCATGTAAGCATAACTTCAAATTCTGCACACACGCTTTTCGGAAAAGGCATTGATCCATGATTCCATCAAAATACTCCAAATATGGGAGTATATCAGGTCCATTCATGTACAATTCTTCATCAAACAACAAGTCAATGTTAGGATAGTTTAGCCAAATGTGATGCCATTGCTTGGATAACACGCAGCAACGGACTACGTGCTTGAAGGGAAGAAAGGACAGGATGTGGTGAATAACGGATTCAGGAAGCGTGGTCAAG